ATCATCCCCCCCACCCCTCTCACACAGACTCACACTCAAGGGCAAATGCTAATGAGCAGCCCTTAATTACCCCTCTGCTGAGCTGGTAAAACCTGGAGCGACGCTGGCGTCTGAAGACGTGACAGCTGCAGTGAAATGAAGTCAGCCGTTCACACCACATTCACACTCCATTCACACCTGTGGTCAGATTAGAATCTCTGATCAAAATAATCCCCTAATCCAAAGAAACTGACACCTAACAAACCACTCTACCACCGCGCTGCCCATCAGATCTTTCCTGTTCCTTAGATGAGGTTTTGTGTTAAATCCCAGACTTTAGGTTTTATTTAATCTTATATTTAAATTGTTAAGGTTTGCAGACAGAGCAGGAATATAAATGTAAAATTATGATTATTTTTCATTTTTCTCATTTAACGTCAAATTTCAGGGAGTTGCGATAAAACGATGAGGTAGAGAACGCAGAGTCAACAATCTTTGTCACAGTGGAACTTTATCCTCTGGAACAGGATGTTGACACCATGATGCAACGGTACCGACGGTTCTCTCTGTCACTGTGAGAAAAATGATCATGTTACAGTAAACAATAACGCAGCAGAAAACACCGGCGCTAACCACCGGGCTGCGTCAGTGAGCAGACACGGCCTCGGACCATCAAAATGTAGAAATACATCACACAGACAGCACCGTCGGCCGCTCCGACTGCGACGGCTCCACGGGGACCGATCGATCAATAAATCGGTGCGGTCGTGATTCAGTCCGCCGAGTTTGGCAGGAAACACTGACGACGTCTTATTTGTCGTTTGTTAGCGGCCGTGCTAATGATTCATCGCAGAAACATCGTCAGAGACCCGGCCTAGTCAAACTGTGGCCCGTGGGTCACATGTGGCCCAGACAGGTCCACACATCGGTCCAGTCTGAGACAAACAGAGAGAATGAGAAAAGGCAAATAATCCCAAATTTGGACTTTATAACAGACCATGAACGCAACACCAAGAGTGATTTGAATGATTGATTTGAAGTTTCTGAGACAAACAGAGAGAATGAGAAAAGACAAACAATCCAAAATTTGGACTTTAGAACAGACCATGAACGCAACACCGAGAGTAATTTGAATGATTGATTTGAAGGTTTCTTTTTTCAATTTAACATTTTTTATCACATTCATATCCTTGTTGTTATTTCCTGCCAATCAGCCAATAAAAACTCTCTCTCGTACTTTTTCAGTCCTTCTTTGCAGCCTTTTCTTTTTTCTTTTCTTTTTACACTCAAAGTAAACACATCCTTGTTGGCAGAAAGTGAGGAAGAAGAGGAGGAGGAAGAGGAGGAGGAGAGCAGAGATTCACAACAACAAAAATTGTCAGTTTTCACTTAAATACCATCAGGCCATGTGTCAATCATACAAAACACACACACACAAACACACACATGTCACACAAGGCTTCACAAAAACTGCAAGAAAGTACACTACAGTACAGTAAAAAATAATAATAAAAATAATGAATGTTTGATCCAAAAACTACAAAAAAATTACAAACTCAATCTTCACGTCACAGGAACACGGGACCAAAAGTCGTCAATCGTTTGAATTTAAAAATCAAAACCAAACCTATTGATATAAATATAAATATAAATATTGATAATGTAGCTGACCGTCGTTGAACTTGAAAACAAATCACTAGCACTGTATCGTGGCAGGACGGTGGATTTAACTGAACCCATCGTAAACGTCTGAAGAAGTGAGAATTCAGAGTTTTATTTTTGTTCAACCTGTCAAAACTCTTCTCACTGCTTTGCTGACTCACCCACCTCACTCACTCACCCACCTCCCCCCCCACCCACTCCTCCCCACACACATGTTTTGCCTCAGACTACAGCTGTGTGCTGTTGTCTGACTCTGGTCACCTGACTGTTTATCTACCAATCAGACCATTGTATCATCAGGCAGGAGGTCAAACATCGGCCCACAGACCACGGGTTTAAAATGACTAATAATGAAAATTCAACACTGACGACGAAGAAGAATTATTACATTTTTATAAATTCTATTCTATTCTATCCACCCTCAGTTTGGGAGCCACAGTGGAGGGTTCAAATCCCAGGTGTTTCTGTTCACATTTTGTTGTTTCATTAACAGCTGAGTCGCTGCTTCTTCCTCGTCCTTTGTCCTAAATAAACCATGGTCCTTCAGCGTAGAGAACGTTTAAACCGATGAAGGAACTCCCGACCTCTCGCACTCACACTCTGGTTTCCTGTTTACTCCGTAGAACACGACAGCTGAACCCCGCTGGTCCGCACTCAACGTCAACGTCCTGTCGGAGAGGAGAGGAGCGGCGGCCAGATGTTGTTGGCACCGACTGAATGTGAGACCGTGTGTAACGGAGAGGATTACCCAGGATTCCCTGAGAGTTAAAGACCGGACCGCGGAGCGTTCGAGTCCTGACCTCTACCCTGAAACATTTACTCAGGTCACGTCTATCTTTATTTTCTTCTGATCTGAGCGCAGAGAGAGAGAGAGAGAACAACGCTGGCTGAACACACAGTCTACAGCCAGGGTTCTCAACTCCCGGACCATGGAATCAGTAGCGGTCTGTGTCTCAATTAATACCGGGCCACAGAGAATCTGGTCATTTCTTCATCTAAAGTTAATCTGTCAATTTTTTTACAAAATAATACGTCTTCTTTTCAGTCTTTGACGCTCTGATACTGACAGAATAAAGTCTAAACGACGTTTTATTTTGAAAAGCTCGATGATCAGCGCGACACTTCTGGTCAGGGATCAATGGTCTACATCACGCATGTCAAACTCAAGGCTCGTGGGCCAAACACGGCATATATATATATATATAAATATATATATATATATGGTTTTATTTACAACTATCAACTTTTATTTTGAAGGCCAGGATTCATGTTTTTATAAATATGGGCCTAAAATAAACTTCACTGCCACACAGATAAATAACTGTGATGCTACAGTGTTGGACACAGTCAGGCCAGGCATTAACACTGGTATATAGTGTAGAAACCAGCGGTGAACAGCTGCGGCTGTTTTCAGTGGGTTCGGACTGAATCCTCAATTATGTGGTTCTAAAATTATCTCTGTTATATTTCATCTGCTCAGGGCAGGAGTGGGGGCAATAAAAACAGGTTAACCACGGCAGTAAAAACTGAAGCTGCTGCAGACGGATCATCTTCATCGTCTCTCTGTCTGTCTGTAGCCGAGGTCAGTGAACCTCTCGCTGTATGGACCAGTCATGGGTCAGTCAGAAAGTCCTCAGACAGATGTGTGTTGGTAAAGACTAAAACCAGTTCAGACTGGTCTCTCTCTGTGTCTGCAACTCTGTCTTTGTCAAGTGTTTCAAACCCTCAACGTTTGCCAAATCTGAAGACTAAATTTGAGTCTTTGGACGAAGGCAAAGAATCAGTTTGTGACCCTATTGTTCGTCCATGTTGAGATCATTTTAAATTTCGGACTTTGTGAGAATAAAGAATTATTTTTTCAATTTGTCCGAAAACGTTTTTTTTCCCTCCATCGTCTTCTGGTTGGTGGACAGACAGACGTCAGACCAATCAGATCATGTGAATCTACTTCGTCCATACTTTGAAGACTGGGTCCCATCCTTACAGTTCTCCCCCACACACACACACACACACACACACACACACACACACAGAGTCATTGTTTCCTTCCAAACGTTGCGACAGAGAAAAGGAAGAAACATTTCCTGGTCATTAGTCTGGAACAGACCAGGAAGAATTCCAGAACAGTTTCTATCCAAACCACCGTCCACTCTTGTCTCCTAGTTTGTCTGACGTCTGACGTCCCGCTTCCTGATGATGATGAAAGTTCGTCCCAGTGACAGTGACTGATCTGTCCCCTGATTGGTCGTCCTCCCCCTCACTCTCATGACCATCAGACCGACCACTTGTCTTTTCTGGCAGCTGAATGATTTGCAAATCTATCAGGAATTTACACTATAGATCATATGTGTCAAACTCGAGGCCCGGGGCCCAAATGCAGCCCAACAAGTCAGTTTGCACGGCCCGCG